GCCAATGGAGAGGAACCCATATTCTACTCAGAGGTAGGAAGCTAACAGGAGTGTAGACTGTGGGCAACACTGCTAGCTGCACATCCAATGTCCAGTCTCCCTTTCTTTCTCCCAGGCTGACCTCTGAGTTTAGAGCAGAAATGTAGCCAGTTAAAAACACCTGTCTGGGGCTGGGGATGTAGCTCAGTGGCATAAGCACCTGCCTGGCAAGTGCAAGGTCCTGAGTTCGATTTCTGGTACAAAACAAAAAACCACCCATCTGTCCCAACTAACTTGAGGCTAGGGCAGTGCCGGGGCTATCAGCACTACTCTGCCAGGATTTTTGGAAAGGCTTTGCTCTCCTTTTATGACCGTGGCCCCATCCACCACCACCCTCTTCTTCTTCGTGCCTGTGTTGTATATGAGAAAATAGCTGAGGAGCATCTACCTGGCAATATGCTGAGGACGGAAGTGCAGAAGGGACACGATGGCATCATGGAACTGCTGTGCCAGCCCTAGAATCCTGCCTTTGACCTTGTGGTTATCTGAGCAAAATAACCTCACTCTTTGATTAAGACACTATAGCCACACTACACAGGGAAACAAACATAATCCTGAGTGATAGAGTCCAAGTTTTCATGCTTGGAATTTGAGCAGAGTTTCTCCTCTTGAGCCTGTGTCTTCAGCTGCATAAAGGGAGTGGCAAGGATATTAGTGACAACCACCAGTAAATCACCCACTGTGCACAGGCACCGTGAGTGTTTGGCATGGATCCCCTACAGAACTAAGAAAGTAACCACTGCATACAACAGGTAGAGATATGGTGCTCACAATCGCGCCTACTTCAGCGACCTCAAAAGGTTTCTGTGAGGATCAAGTGAAGCTAGACTGGAAATTCCTTACTAACATAACCTGTTATGTGTACATTTACCAAAGTCACTTTCCCTGCAGTAAACAGTCAAAGAGGAAGTAACAGTCTCACTCCTGAAAACGCATGAGACTCATCCCCAGCCCAGCTCAGAAGGAAGGAAGAAACAAAGCTATCTCAGCACAGTTGTGCCAAATGCAAAAGCCAGGAGGCTGCCAGGTGAAACCAAGCATTCCACATGGCTTCACACAGGCCTCCTTCAGAAACGACAGCCGAGAGGTATCCCTGCCCAGACAAAACCCTGGAACCATGAGCTTGTCTTCTTTCTGGGTTGTGCCTCCCCTTCACACACTCCTAGCGCCTCAGGCCTGTGTGCAGTCAGGACCTCCAAAGTGCTGACCATCCTGTCACCACTGCAAGGGTCTCTGCCTCTCATTTCAAAGGCTGCCCCAGCTGGACCGTACCTGCCTCCTAGGAATTTGGTACATCACCCATGTGTTACAGATCAGAGGCTCACAGCCACATGATCATTTTTTAGGAACTCAGGCTTGAACTTGAGTCTCCTGGCTCTAAAGCTTCTGATCTGAATCACCATGCTGACCTGTCTTTGTCTTTTTAAGAAATAATTCTCTCTCCTCTTGCTCTCTCGCTCTGTCTGTCTCTCTCCTCCAGCTTCTGCCTGCGTATTTCTAAACGGATAGAAATTTTATCTGGCTGGCTCTTTGTGTGGGGGGTGTGTGTCTGTTTCTTTTTATGTTTCTCTCTGTGTCTATCTTGGTCTCTCTTGCTCTGCCAATCGCATACCCTTTTCCCGAGGCCCATGTGCATGTCTAGCTGTCCTGTTGCTCTGTCTGGGGCATGTGTGTTTTTCTCCCTAGTACACCACAGGATAGCTGCTTGTTGACCTAACTGTATCTCTTAGGAAACTCTAGCTTCTACATGAATAGCACCTGCTTTCTTTGTTGGCAGTTGCAACTCAAGTGCCTGGAACAAAACACAGAATAGACACAATATATTTTTATTGAAGCAATAACTAAGTATGTGCCAGACACACTGAGGAGAAAGAATGATAGAAGCCCAGCACTGGAAAAGACAACAGGGTCTCTCCTACAGGAAGCTAGGAACTGGGCATGGGAAGGGAAGGATTTAAAACCAATTTAAAACTAATTGTTCCCTTCCTTATCCAGAATACAACCAGAGAATGTCAAAACATCTTCATCATATGTGTCTACTGGAAAGGCCTAGTGACCTGAGAGATTAAAAACATGAACAGCACAGCGGTCAAAAACTACCATCATGGAACATGTGGGCTCCGACCTTAGATCCCCCAGTCCTTAGCCTCCCTCATCTCTCTCATCTCCTTTTACCGTAATATGTAAAGAGAAAAAAAATAATAAAAATGATACAGAATTTCAAAACAGGATGATAGGAAATTAGCAATGGTTATTATATTGCATAGTTATCTTCAAAGTAGTTGCTCAGATTACCAGATATAGGCATGCAAAATTGATGAAACAATATAAGCACTAATTATTCCTTCCAATGAACAGAAATTGGTAGCACAATTACCTTAGCTATCTTGTGTGTGTGTGTGTGTGTGTGTGTGTGTGTGTGTATCCCCTTCCTTCTTTTCTCCTTTCCCCCATCCCAGTTGTTCTTTCCTTTTGAGCAGTTTCTTATCCTTTCACAATATCTATTTTACCTTTTGGATCTTATTTACTCTTTCAGTTTCTTACACTAGGGAGACAATATGATGTTTACACATGCCAGACTTATTTCTTTTACTTATGAGTATGGTCTCTAGTTGCATCCATTTACCTATAAAAGACTCAAGTTTATCCTTCTTTATAGCTGAGTAGTACTCCATTGTATAAAAATATCACATCTTTTTTATTTTAAAGAGAATAAAAAAAATAACAAAATACCAACAACATAGACAAAACAAAGCAAAGCAAAAACAATAAAAATGATACAGGATTTTAAAACAGAATGATAGGAATTAACAGCGGTTGTTATATTACATGTTGTTATCTTCAACAAAGTTGCTCAGATTACCAGAGGTAAGAATGCAAGATTGATTAAACCATTAAACAGGATAAAAAATAATTTTAAAAAAATTAGAAGCAATACAGACTTTCACTAGAAAAGATGGTAGGAATTCACCAGTGGTTGCTATATTGCATACTGTTGTCTTCAAATTAGTTGTTCAGATTATCAGGTATAACCATGCAAAATTGGTCAAAAAAATTTAAGCATTAATTGTTCTTTCAGTAAACCATTAGACATCAGCAGTACAATTACCCCAGCCATATATATATATATAATTTTCCATTTTTTCTTGTTCTCCTTTCCCTCATCTCAGTTGTTCCTTCCTTTGAGCAATTTTTTTCCATTTCACAATATCTATTGTACATTTTAGGTTTTAGGTTCTTAAACTAGGGAGACAATACAATGTTTAAACTTATGGGTCCAATTTATTTCACTTATGAGTATGGTCTCTAGTTGCATCCATTTACCTATAAAAGCCTCAAGTTTATCGTGCTTTTACAGCTGGGTAATACTTCACTGTATAAAAATACCACATCTTTTTTATCCATTCCTCAGTTGATGGGCACTTGGGTTGTTTCTAAGATTTAGCTATGACAAATTGTGCTGCTATAAACATGGGTGCACATATAGTGCTGTGAAAAATACATCTTTTTTATTCATTCCTTGGTTGATGGGCATTGGGTATTTCTCCTCTACAGTCAAATGCCAGCAAGAACAGGGCCTAGCAAGTAGAGTAAGTGGTCCAAGGACACACTGTCCTTCATTTTACAGATGAGTTACCAGAACGGGCAAAGGAAGCCCCGTGGGTCACAGCCATGAACAAGGCCTCCTTCTGTTCTGGGCCAATACAGGATGGACACATGTGAAGGAGACAGGTGTTCAGCAACTCTGGGAGCCTGGAGCAATCTTTGAGCTCCAACTCTGGTGATTGCCTACTCTGGAATGCACCCACAGAGTGTAGCCCTCTCTCCCAGGATTTGAACATGGCACAGCTCAGCAAACAACCTCAGTGGCAGGGGACCTCCGCCTCTTCTCAAGGGTCTGTTACTTAACCCCTAATGATGCTGTGAAATAGGTGAAGTAACATGTCATCTACCTCCACGAAGTGTGGAAACTAGAATTACAGGGCTCACCCAGGGCCTGGCACACAACAAATGCATATGAAACACTAGCTGCCATGATTAATGAGACAACTGCAGCCTGAACTCTCTTCTCAAGTTGGTTCTCAAACTTGAAGGTGAGTCAGAAGAGCTGGTGCATTTCATCTCACTCACAACACATCCTCAGATAAACAGGTTCACCTGCCTCCTCTGTCCAAGGGAGGACACAAATTCCTGACTGTTGCCCAGAGGGCTATGGTGGAGTTGAGCCTTCCACTTCCCACTCACCTGCAAGGTGAGGGCAGAAAAGAAGCTAGGGCAGAGGCTTGCCCAGGGAAGGGAGAGGAGAAAGAGCCGGGGAGGGCACTGCCCACTAGGCCTACCTGCATGCTTCCTTCCTTCTTCTGTAAGTAGCTCCGAGTGCCAACCAAGGGCTGAGCAAGCCCAGCAGCCTGTGCCTTCTGAAAGCCAACATTTACTCCCTGGATATGGTGAGGCTTTGGCCAAGAGGCTCCCACTCATCCCTTGAATCTATCCAGTGCGAAGATGAGCCTGAGCTCTCTATGCTTTCAACCTGTCTCCTGGAACAGGACAGAACCACTGATGTCCTGGAGGGGCTGGGAGGCCTGTCAAGCAGAGGGAGGTCCAGCTTTCTGAGCAGGAGGCTTTGAGAAGTCAACCGAGACAAGCACTCAGACCTACTTCACAAGAGACTCGCATTCCACTTGGTGCCCAGTACAGCCAGTCACCTCTACCTTCCCCCACCAGCCCACCTCCAGAGATTGCCCCACCACCCCGTCCTCTCTAAGCCTCACTGAAGAAAGTCTCTGTGGGCCTGGCACTCTGCTGGAGCCAGGCGACAGAGCCCAAAGGAACCCAAACCCTGTCCGGCAGATCTTAAAGAGGAAAAACATTAGATCAGAAGACACCAGAATAAGTCTGTCCTTTTCTTGTTTGTCACACAGTGGAGAGGCTGAGCTATACAAATGAAATATTGAGAAACATTTTCAGAGTTTAGCTTTTATTAAAATTAAACATTAAATATGGGAAACTAGAACATGATTTTTGTTAATACATTTGAGGAGATGTTTCTTCAGCTATCACTGTAACTGATCAAGCATGTGACAAGTGTTCTTTTACAAGATATACATCCCCAGCTCCCATGCAGAAAACACTAGATCCAGACCTTCCCTAGGCAATACATTGCACAGGGTGTCAATGATCCAGTTTGACTGCTTGTGACAAGCACGGGGACAGAGCACCCACACAGACATACACATTCAGTGTCTTGAGTTTTGTTTCAAAGAAAGTATTTTACATGTACAAATTAAACAAGAAGTCCAATAAGGGTCTTTTATTGCCACTAAAAAGGGAGAAAATAATTTACAATTTATAACCAAAGGCAAGGACATAGCACAGGGGAATTTGTTTCTGCAAATGTCACAGTTCCACGCATTCCTGCCATGGCTGATGCTGTATCCATGAGTTGCTGAGTCCCATGACAAAGACTGCACAAGGGCTATGAGGCTGTGATTGCCGACCATGGAAGAAGCCTCTTCCATTCCCATTCGGAAGAGCTGCCAGCTTTCCTGCTTGGTCAGTAGAAAAACACACTGAACGTGAGAGGCTTAGGACTCTAAATAGTGCAAACATTTAAAAAAAAAAAAATACATTCCAACCTCCTTGCTTCTGCAGGCAAACAGAGCCTTAAAAGCTGGAATATGAGTTTGCTCAGCTTCCCAACTTAACCCAAGTAGGAGCAAATAGGGAGCATGGAGGCAATTCAAATGGCACCTGTCCCACCAATAAGAATAAAGATTTGTTTTAGAAACATGAAGCTTATGGCAGATAAATACACAGAACAGACCCCAGAACAGAGACGCCTCAAGAGCAAGTCGGAGGTATTGTGCGAGCATCTCCAAAGCACAAGCCTAATATGTCCTTCACAGGGACTGGGACTGGCCCTTTTCCTAAAGTACACCAATGGATGCTCCCAAAAGAGACATCATCTGGCAGCAAAGGCCTTGGGAGTGGAAGTTGCAGAAGATCAAAATGATAGAAGAGAATGAGGAATGGCCTACCGAGTCCAGGAACCAGGGAATATAGGCCAGACAGTAAGCCCTTCTCTGGGGCTGCTCCACACTGCAGTGTGCCAGGCTCAATGCCAGACAGTAAGAGCCACCAGGGGACAGTGGCTAACCGTCCGCCCTCAGAAAGCAAACTCCATATAATTAACAAACGGAGAGACAAGTGATATAGACAAATGAACAAACAAGCTATACAGATGAGTAGAGGCTGAGTCTAGTTTAACATGAATCCCTAGCAATTCAAGACACACCAGCGATGTGCTTTTCAATTCAGCAGTCTCTCTTGAATACAGTATGAAACAGAAGACTCATCTACCTGGAGCTTCTGAAATATTTGGGTTTTTTGGCGGGGAGAGGGACAAAGGAATGCTAGCTACAGGCACAGACTGTGTGTGAGAGTGAATGACATATACAACATAACATTTCATTACCGTGGACAATAAAAAGCGATTCATATATTTTGAAAAAAATTACCTTATAAAAATATCTACATTAAAATTTTAGCCTGAAAGCTATAGCTTCAGTTTTATAAAAAGGCAATCTTTGAAAGGACCTGGCTCAGAAATATACAAACATTAGACAACAAATATCAAAGTAAGACAGCTCAAAAAGCATCTTAGGGGATATTGCAACTGGCTTGTCATGAAATAGAATTAAGGATTCTTATTGCATAGCAGAAAATGAGGTCACTTCATTTGCATAATACTGCAACATTTTAGATGAAGAGATGCCACTAGGTACTTATGAGAAATAAGTTTGGAATTCAGAAGACGACTTCTGTGTTGTCCAAATCAGTATCCAAGTGGCGTCGAAACTGCTTCTAACCTTGGGCCTCAATTCCATTTCACCAGCACAATCAGATTTCAGATATGCCACTGGCAAAGCTGAATTCACAAGCAGGCGTGGCCACCCTAATAGGGGCAGAGAAGGGAGGCCTCACTACCGTGCGACCAGCACAGACTTGAAAGTCGAATGTATCTACTGTGGCCAGAGAGTCGCACCCGAGGGTGAAGCAACAGTAACTTTGGGGTGGGATCTGTGCACAGCTAGAGCAGACTGACTTCTGTGATGACATACCAGTATTCTGGTCCCCGTGAGAATGGCTGCATGAAGGTGAAATGACACAGCCCCTGCAGCACCACCAGCAGAGGCAACGCCTCTTAGGAAGGGAGATGCAAGGTGGGACCAATAGCAAAAACTCCAAAGCGGAAAACGTGGCTGGCAAGCTTCCAAGGGATCTTTTCTGGGACAGTGACACAGGAATCTAGCTTTCCCCACCTAAGCAGAAAAGCCTGGCTTCTCCATAGTGGGGAAAGGGATGAGGAACTTACCTTTCATCCAAAATGGAGAACTTGTGTATCATGCACACACCAGACTCCTCAACCTCATCCTTACCATACGTACTTGCCAACAAGTCTCAAAATTCCTTCAGAGACTGAGGAAGGACATCTGGGCCAAAAATCCTCCAACTCAGAGCCAGGCAGAGCTCTGAAATCTCTGTCATCCCTGAAGCCAGGTGAGATGAGAGCAGCTAATTCGAGCATGACTCAATTGTTCTGGAGACATTTCTTGTGGGTCCACTCAAGCTAGGTATCTTATCCTCTACCAAGATTACTAAGTTCCTAGGTACCTTGGTGCTCTTCAAATGTCTTGCTGAGACAACATGTGCTTAACTTTAGGAAGGGAAGTTTCATTCTCAGGAGAAGTACACAACAGTGCATAACACACAGTAAATACTTGAAGTGGTCAGCCAGCTGGGGAGCTTGCTAGTCTCCTAGGTTTCTGCATGGCAGAGGTAGGGAAAAGAGGGATGCCAATCTCCTGCAGAATCTGCCTAGAACACACAGCGGTGTATCAGAAGTCCAATGTCAGGGTTCACAAAGAGGAGGACCTTGACATCATAGAGGGTTAACCCCACGCTCCAAGATGTGAGACACAAGACTCCCCTCCTCTGCCAGGAAAGCCCAAGATAAGCAATAGCTTAGGAATTGCACATATTGAAGGGTCTTTTTTAAAATGCCAATGACCTAATGCTTTCTCAAATCCCCTCTCCAGATGCTTGACTTCCTATCGTTGGTAATATTCTATCAAACTCCTCTTTTAAAATCCAAGTATTCTTGAAAAATACCTGAAATCCAGGGCCCATTGCCATCTTCTCCCCAAAAGTGCAAGCAAAGGGAAGGGATGTCTGCAGTTTGGGGAGGGGTACATACCTTGAAATAGGGGGAAAGCACAAGAGGACGATAAGGGCATAAGACAGATTTGACTATCATCACAAAGTGCCGAGGGCTGGCCTCAGCCGATATAGTCCCTCTAAGTCATTCGTGTCCAAATGAATCATACGCGACCCCATGGACAAACCTGTCTCTGGGTTGGTGGAAGGGTGACCTTTTCACTTATCCTCCCAGTCAGAACACTTGCAAGTAAAACGGGGTGCTACGATAATTGGGCCTGGATAATAAGTACAAATGGGGGCTGTCGTGTCGTGGGAAAACCCAGAAGCGGTATTGCTCCCTAAGACCACTGGGAGCAGGGACTGTATCCTTACCACCTTGATTTTTTCTTTTCTTCTTGTACATTTTTCTCTCCAGTGTATTACCTGGGGCTACTCTGAAGCTTTCATTTTTTTTCCTGCTCAACAAACAAAATCTTCCAAACCTGGAATCCATGACATCAAAAGACAGAGACACAGATAGAAGACAGGGTGGTTCCCATCTGTTTCCAGAGCACAGCCTTGGAAAGGCAGCTAAGAACACCATGGGAACCTGTCTTCTCCCTGGTCCAGTATGCAGAGGAGAGAGCACAGCTTCAAGCAAGCCCCAGCTCCTCTGCAAGCAGAGGTACAGTAGTCAGGTCATGTTTGCGGGCATGGTCACAGAACTGCCCTCTCGCGGGTTACTTCCAGACAATTCCAACCTGTTCAACTGGATCTCCAGGAGACAGCAGCTTTAATCATCTCAGGGTCCCCATGAGACAAATCCAGAAGAAAGGTTCCCGTTATTTGATTTTCAGCATGGTGAAAGGATCAGTAGTAAAGAAATCCAGTAGATTACCATACCTCCCCACCCCACAACTGAGTGAAAATACCATGTTTTATACACAAACGCACACATGCACACTGCTCACATGTGCACATGGGTTCTATGCTCTCTGTTGTCCCTATATAAATACCAAAAAAAAGGAAGAAAAAGCCCGGAGGTGCTGCTGCGGCTGTCAGGAACGTTGCTGTTCAGGGCTGAGGCCAAAGCACCTTAGGGAAGCAGGAAGTGGGTCCATACTGTGAGGGACAATGCCAGTCTGCCAAGCCAGAGGAGAGTGGTTCTCACACTACCACGGACCCTCCTAGTGAGTTGCATCCAGTTGCTAGGATCCTGCTGCTCCAAGTCACAGGTAGCACCCACATCATCCTCCATCTCCTGGCAGTGGGAATTTGGGTCACAAGGACTTGTGAATCACAGCAACACCTAACGTGAAAGGGAAACAAAGTTGTCATCATAGCTTCTCCACTGCTATTCAGAGTCCCACTAAGTCATCCTATATGCCAGCCAAGGGAAATAGGTAAGATTTTTAGCCAAATATTGAAGTACTGTGATTTTGGGTTGCTAGCAGCTGGCTATTTCCCACTCTAACAGTCAGGTCTTAGCATTTGAAACCATGACATTTGAAACCATGAGCACCGTCCCTCCAACACCCCTGGCACTGTCACACAGATCTTCTAGTGCTGTGATGTCTCCTTCCAAACCCTAGCATTCTGCTTAACAGTGCCCAGCACTCCTACTGGACACCCAGAGGGGCTACACAGCTCTAAATATGCATCTCTTTAGGAATAGAAACAGGTGATTTATATCTGCTTTTATTTCTTTGTATATTACTTATGTCCCAATAAATGCAAGAAGATTGTAAAGATTGAATAATACCAAAATAAGAAAATCAAAAGGATATGTAATAAATTCAAAAGGCAGCTCAAATGAAGGGCAGGCACACAGTCAAAAAAAAATGCTCAGATTGTGGAGGTGGGGCTACTTGCCCCCTGCTGAAAAGACGTCACACAAAGAGCATGGACTCTCATTCAATTCAAAGTTACCTGGTCTATGACATTTCTAGGAATACCTTTCGAGGGGAGTGGGATTAACCTAATTAGTAAAAATCATTTCTACTGAAAGTCCATCTAAAATATAGAAGATGTGATCTTTGAGAACCCCAACTTTTATTCTTGAATGACAGCTGGATAAACTGGCAACAGCCAGTCTGTTGAAACTTCAAGATAGTATAAAAATGTTTCCAGGGTATAACCAGCACATTCGTTCACTTCAGTTCTATTTGCAGACGGATTTTGGCTTCCACTGGTGCACTGCTTGACTCACTCATCCATCCTTTGCCAACCTGGATTGGGAGGTACTGATACAATGGGTCAAGTTCTTAAAATTTTATTTTAAAAGAATAGATGATGCTGGAATTCTGGAACTGAGGACCTTTAGGATTCCAAAAAATCCACAGATTAACCTAAAGGTAAATTAAGACCTCAGTTTTTATTTTTTCCAACTTTCCTGTCTATATCTGCTTTTAGAAAACAGTGGAATAAAGTGGAAAGAATAGTGGACTGATTTCACAGAAGCAAGAAAAACAATCTCCATCCAAGCTTTGCTACCAGTCAACCTACACTGTGGCCTTTCGGCAAATCTACTCACCTCTTTAGACACAGTTCCCACACCATTTAATGCCGTTGAACCTTGAACTGCAGGAACTTTTCAGATAAGCACTCTAAACCTATGCATATGTGTTTTAGCAAAACAGAACCATATTTAGCACCTAACTTTGTGAATCCATGCATGACCCCAAGTCAAACTATAATGGACTGAGGCTCTGTGGAAGATGCTGTGGGTTGAGTCAGCCAACATCCTTTCTACTTCTTGTCCTTTACAACAGGTACCAGCTGGTTACAAACTCAGCTTCCCAGACTGTCTTGTAGCTAGAAGTGCCACGTGGCCCAGTCCTGGTGAATGAGACTATAAATGTGAGTCTGCAAGAGCTATAATGTTGAGTGTCCCTGCCCTGCCTGAAATGTTCATGCAAGGCCCAAGAGGCAGTGGTAGCTACTAGGAAAGATGGTAGGAGAGCAGAGAGGTCTGGTTCTTCAGTGACAGTATGGGCCACCAGGTCAACCATGGACTTTTTTCTGTCTAAGACAAATACACCCCCTTCCTTATTTAAACAAATATTAGTCAGGTTTTCTGGTACCTACTGCTGAACAAAATACTAACTTGAAAGATGCCTACAGGTAAGATGGTTATTGGAGTCTTATTTTAACAAACTCCCACTACTATAAGAAAAAGTCTGAAGATGAGATTAAGAGAATATTACTGACTAGGCATGGTGGTGTATACCTGTACTTCCAACACTCAGGAAGCTGAAGCATGAGGATTGCTACAAGTTCCAGGCCACCTAGGCTACATAGTGAATTCAGACCAGCCTGAACTACATAGTGAGACCCTGTCTCAAAAAAGAAAGACCAAGATATCTTATTGGAGAGATCCTGCTAAGATTCATTTCCTATTAATTCCTAGAGAAGAGTCTAGATTTAGATACCTGTAGCAGGCAGAACATGAGTCCAAGCCAAGAGCTACTGCTTGACTTTGATGCATCTTACCTGTGCCTCAGACACCTCTTTCACCAGGTACATTTTTAAAAACCAGGTTTGCTTTCTTAATATAAGCCTTCTTCTGGTTATAAAAGTAATACACTCTCACTTTGGAAAATGCGGAACACAAAGGAAAAGATCTTTAATCCTTTCACCAAAGAAAACCGCCATTATCTTCCTGGAATATCTCCTAGCTTCTAATAGCCATCACAACCTTTTACTGAGGGTCTCACACAAGAAGACCTTGTGCTTAGTGGTTCCCACATTACCACATTTCATTCTCACAATCGCCCTCAGAGGCTCAGTCTAATTTTTATTCCCATTCTACAAGTGAGATAACAGAGGTTCAGTCAGATTGAATACCTGTCTCAGAGATCTAGGGCTAGGGCAGAATTTGGATTCAAATTCAGATCTGACTCCAATATCCATTTTCAGAAGCTACAGCTATCCACTGCCCTCCCCAGAGAGGACCATAGGACTGAGCACACAACACATACAACTGTGCAACCTCCTTTTGCTTAAAAGTCTATCACAAACATTTTCACAAGACATTAAGAATACATCTACTGTAAGACATTCCATAGATTCACTATTTGTCTAATGTCAAACATTATGTGGCTCTCAGTTGTTTGTTATTGTAACTAATACTCCAGTAAATAACTTTCTCTCTACATTTTTGTATTTCAGAGCAAATCCCTAGATTTTAAGATAATAGACACAAATTTTACATATAAAATTGCATGTTTGTTTGTCCCCTTCTCACTTACTTTTAAGTGGATAGAAAATAAAAAAAGAAAGCAAGATGAAGTATTCAGCACATATATGAAATTCTAATGAGCCACACCAAAGCCCTCCCCTCTCATTAAGACCTAGGTGGAACCAGGGCCCAGATCCTTCCTATGCCTCACAGTCTTATCCTAGGAAATGCCCTGATCTTCCCTCTGCAGCTGCAAAAGGAAAGTATTCATGCTGATTTTCCTAATTAGCCATGAAGAGAATAGCTCTGGGAACCAAACTGCTGCTAAAATGTTTCATACTTAGCAAAGGAAAACGTGACAAGTTGGGGAAAACTCCTAAAGGAGGACAAAAGCGAGAGAAGTGCACTGCAGTGACACCTTTGTGCTGAAACAATATGATATAAAGCCCTTTTAGCCTGCCCCACACTTCTGTGCCCTGAAATCCAAATGAGTTGGGATGACCGGCCTTTCTAATGCAAAATGGGAATAAGAATACTCCTGCAATCAAGGTATGAATTACATGAGATAATAATTTTTAAATACTTAGGATAATGCCTGGTATGTTGTACATACTCGTTAGATAGATGTCTGGTCTAACTATTCCAGGTATAAGGAGCTGGGTTACATGATGCATATACATTATCATGTCATTCTATGGACCTCTGACCTCAACAATATCAGCTCAGCTGCTGCCTCTACCCCTTACCTCACCAAATCCTGCACAAGACTCCCTGAAAAAAAACCTTCACACCAGTTTTCCATTACACCGCCTAGCCTCTTTCCCCAGTCCTGAGCTGGCCCAGTACAGTGGCTTAGAAGTTATACCTCATTTGGATTTCTGACTTTGCCATGTATTAGCTGTGTCCTTGGCAAGTTAAACTCTCAAAAGCTCAGTCTGACCAGCTGTAAAAGAGAAGGACCTAGCCCTATGTAGCTGAGGGTTGTTGAGAAGATGAGAGTGAATATATACACTGCCCCTAACACACTGTCCCACAGCACAGAGGAGGAGCATTCATCAAAGGGCACGGGTGACTGTGACCCACTCTCAAAGCGCAGGGGAGCCCATCTCCTCCAGCAGGAGGTCCCAGACTCCATCATTTTCACTGGTCTCTTCTGTCCTAAAGCTGTACAGTGCATTCCACTTACAGCAGTGTATGCATTATCTTGTATGTCCCCTGCTCTTTCCAACCCAACTTCTGAGAAGCAAAAACCATTCTTTACACCGCTTAGGAACCTGGCACATAAAAAATTAGGAATGACCGTAAAACTCTAGCTCTCTGTAGCAGTTCAGATCAGTTGGAAATGGCTCCCTGGAAAACTCAGAATTGGGATGCTATATTCAGATTCGCAGGGGAAAGAAGTGATTATTAGCATCTGTCACGGACAGAGTGAAGGAGTGGCCCCAGGGTCCCAGGTCCACCAAACTCGCACCCCTTCCCCACCACCCCGCCCCTAGGGTGGTGGCCTCCGGAGTGGGCGGGGCTGCAACACACTGACCTGCGTAGCTCCGCCCCGTGCTCATGTTGGTTGGCAGCATCGTCCATTTGTCAGTAACAGGATTGTAGTACTCCACCGAAGCCAGGTTGCAGGATCCGTCGTCCCCTCCGACCACGTACAGGAGCCCGTTCACTGCACAGACCCCTGGGGGTCGAACACAAGCCGCAGGAGCACTCGAGATCAGAACCCCTGGGAGATGAACCCAACTAGCTGGGGGCTCATTTCTTCCCTTTACAGTCGCAGGGGAGATCCGCCTCCACAGATCTGAGTTTGCGCAGTGGGGGAACACGCTGCCAACACCCTCTGGGCTCTGAGAATCTCCTTTTCCAACAGGGTGATTTCTCTCACCAGGGAACTGTCACTACTACATGGTCATATAGAGATGCTTGCTCTGCCACATCCGACTGTGGGTACAGACGCTGGATCACTCTATGAGAAGCTGCCCACAGCACACAGACCTCCCACACCCAGCCTGAGCTAGGGAATGAGATTCAGGCGTTCATGGACACAACTAATTCTTTGCTGGTCGTTTTTTCCCTGCCAAGCCCTGCTGTACAACTATCCTGTGGTGGTGATGGCTGTGTCTACAAGCCCTAGAAAAAACGAGGAATCTAAATTCACGTGGGGTGGACACTCCTTCCCCTCCTCATCTCAGAGTGAGCTGGTTTGAAGGCAAGATCTCATGAAGTTAGTATAGAAGAGTAGGGGTATGTAGTCATCAAGACTTTAAAAGGCCACAGTCCAATAAACTGTGTTTTTGCAAAATGAGAGTAAGGGATTGGTGGTACTCTAAAAAGTAATGATCAGATACTCTCAAATATTGGTGAGAGGCTAAGGTGGGCCACCTTCCTGGATGCTGTCTAAAGCACAGGTGCGCCCTATAACTCAAAATCCCACTTCGACATTTTATTCTAAAGAAATGACTTCAATGTGTGTACTGATTCTGGCTGTTTAAATTATGATATAGGCATTAAAATATCATGTAAATTACTGTGGTAATAAGATGATAAAAGACGGTAAAATGAGTTTGAAAAAGCAGATTATAGAGCTGGTAATCAATGTGATTCCATTTTTCTTATCAGTGGAACTATCTGTGTGTGAATGTGTGTATGTACTCACATTTACATCTAAACTGAATTCTCAGACTCTGGACAGATTAGCTGTAATTCCTTGCTCATGTGGTTTAAGGCCAAAGGCCAAGTTATATCACAACAGGCTTAAGCAATGAGTAAATCAATACATTCCCCCTCTGTTTATACCTCCAACAGACCAGCCACAAATGGGCTTAACAAAAAGAAAATAGGAGACTAAAGGAAATAAACTGCCTGAAAGTCACCTGTTTGCATTCCAGTCTGGGAAGGTAGGCTAAGGTAACACCTCCCAGAGCAAAGACGCATAAAATATACAACATGGGATGCGGCCCAAAGGGCGATGTTCTAAAAAAGAATAACTTATTAGGGGTGTCAGGCTCTGGGAAATATAAACATACTCCAGGGCAAACCACTTCTACAGAAAGAGGGGAAATTGAGAAAGGGAAGGAAAAGAGAGACGGGAAGGACAAAGAAGGGAATAAAGGAAGTGCTTCCACTGGGGAATCAGTCATGGGTCAGACTCTCCTTGCAAGGACGGAGGCTGGATTTAGGTGAAAGTGAGAGGTTCTCCTGGCCAGGCACTGGCAAAGAAGACATAGAATCAAGTGACATTGTCTGGGCCATAGCCACAAAATCCCACTTCTGACATTTTATTCTTTGCTACCAGCAAAGCCACTGGGGTGGGGGTGGGGGTGGAGACCAGTAGCAACCAGAGTGCTTTTCTGTGTTTGTGCCCAACTGTAGGCAGTAAGTCATTACACTTCGCTGGAGATAGGGGACCCCTCTGCACCTCTTTGGGGATCTTGTGGCAAGCTTTGTGGGTCTCAAGCTCTCTTGTCCCTAAACCAGAGCCTACCCAGCAAACGGATGCTCCCTGTTTGGAATCCAAGCTAGGCTCCAGACCCAACAGTTTCTCCTCTCTTCCTTTCACTTAGGGCTACTGTCTACATTCCAGGAGAAAAGATCCACGACCCCCAAAGGGAGAAAGGAGAGAGCAGTAGTATTACCTGCATTGCGCCGGCACATGTTCATGTCTGCCACCTGCTTCCAGGTGTTTGTTCCAGGGTCATAAACCTCCACACTCTTCCTCACCAAGGGCCCATCATGCCCACCTGTGGCGTACAGCTGTCCACTAAGCACCCCAACCCCTGAAAGACAGAGCACAGAGTCCCAGCCTCAAGCCAGCTATAGAAACCAGGAGGCCTGGTATTGTCCTGGACAACCATTACCAGCAGGGTGACTTGGGGAGTTCAGTTTTGCCTCCCTGGACCTCAGTGTCCTCATCTGTAAAACAAATATAATATCCTGCCAGGCTCTTTCACAGTAATAACGGGAGTATGATAAATGACAGAAAAAGAAAGACTGAAAGAAATACACCAGAACATTACAGGTGGTTATTTCTGGGCTATAATTATATGTGTTTCCTTTTTGTCTGTCATATTACCTCATCTTCCCACAGTATTGAACTACTTAGGCTTAGATTGGTTGAATAAAGAGTTAAAAATTGGAAGTAGCCACACAGCAGGTGCACTGAGCTCATTATTAGGTAGCACTGTAGTCTTGTAGGCAGAAGCTATTCTTCATACCCACTTCTCTCCAGCTGGGGGCAAAGGCCTTAGTTACATCATTCACGGTATTGATCAGCCTAAGCAGAATGCCGGAATGGCATCGCTTACAAGTTTTAGGTAAACTAAAGACAAGTGGAGGAGATAAAAGCCATAAAGGAGGATGATAACACTCAGAAAGAGCAAATGCTCTGCCAGCTGGGACGCTTGTGTCCTGCCTCCTGGACTGCCCTGCTGGGTGCCCTTTCCCTTTCTGAGCTACAGTTTTTTCACTCATACAGGGAGGGAGTTGGCATGGATCAGTTGTTCCCACGGACTAATCTCCTCCGTGACAGGCTGCATCTGTCAGCTGTGAACTCCCTGAAAGACAGGTTCCAGGGCCTCACTCCCAGACACTGGTTAGCAGCCTGAAAAAGTTCCTTAGGAAATGGGGATGTGCAGCCTGGTTTCAGGTCCAAGGAGCGGATTTGCAGAACATAAACTTCATATGGACAGTTATGTCTATGTCCTTGTCTATTTCCCTGTGCTTGGAGGTTGTAGGTTCTCAGCAGATACTTTATAAATGACAAAATATATAAAATCCCTTCCAGCAATTTTGCTAGAAATTATTTGTTCCTAGCAGTTGCCCTGAGCTAACAGCAGATGGTGCTGTCATATCAACAATGACTAGGGAGACGGTGTGGATTTACCAAGTAGCTTCCAAAACTGCCTCACCTTGCCTTCCCCAGGCTGCACGGGAACTCGCACCCCTGCAATCCTGAGATGGACATTTTCTCCCTCACCGTCATGGATGTTGCCCACACCCAGCTGACAAAGCCAGACACTCTGGGGCACCATTACCCTAGAAACTGCGCCACTTCCTTCAGCAGCCCGATGGATAAACATCATTGAAGATGTTCTGGGCACCTAGAGCCACAGGGGCTCTGGGTACCTCAAGGGGGCTCAGGCAGACATAAGACAGGGCCTTTGGTCCCTGGGTATTTAGCTATCAAAAGATAAATAAATAAAATAAAGTAAAATACCCACCACAACTAGTACGCGGGCTCCCACTCTAGAAGTGAGACTTCCTTAAATTGTAGTGTGTAAAGTACTGTAGAAAGGTAGACCAGGAAGCCTGAGGCCAGGGCTCTAACCGTAGCCTGAGGAAAGAGCTCATTCCCTAAGTAACGTTCATTATACCTCCCAGGGACAGAGAAGTAGAGATTACATAATCCAGGGTCCCCCTCCCCTGAGCTTAGGTGAGAGGCAGGAATCAGGCTGAGTGGTATCTATCCAGCAACAACCTTTAAACAGGTTGCAGAGACAGAGCAGCTGTGGTGTCCAAAGGCGGCACCACCTGCACAGGTGCACCTGGATGTTCAAAGGCAGCTGGGAAGTCCTGGTTCGCACTTCTGCTGGGGAGAAACAGCCGCAGAGCTCATGAGCACAGCCCAGTCCCACGGAGCTGGTCCGGTCTGCCTAGACCATGTGTACCTGCTCTCGTGCCTCAAGCTAAAATCGGGAATTTTTAGGAAGTGCAAACAAGACTCTACTAACATTAGAAACTAAAGTTAAGGGAGTTTTATGAAAGGACAGAATCATGGGATTTCTGAGTTGAACTGACCCTTTTGGAACATTTGCTGCTGCAACCCACTTATATCGCATCTGAGTGTCTCAAGGCCAGAAATGAGGAAGGGACATGCCGAGGTTACACAGAAAGTTAGAGCAGGAAAATGCTCAAGGGTAAAGGACAACTGGGATGTGGGAAAAGAGAAGGAAAAGAAGGAGAAATTATGTACGTATATATATACAGGATAGTTAACATAGTTGAACTACTGTCTTCTATTTCTTTGCTGAAAGAAACAGTTACTGATTCCTTGATTGACCAATATTGCATGTCTCTATTTGTTTTCCTTGATATCTTCACTCTGAAGATATCAGTATGTAATACAACAAGCATTGTTAATTTCCTACCACTTTGTTTGTAACTCTGTATTGTTTGTATTGTTCTTTTGCTATTCTGTAAATGGTTGTCTGTTTGGTGTTTTCCTTCTTTTATTTTTAAAATAAAAAAAAATTTAAATTTAAATTTAAAAAAAAAAAAAGAAAGAAAGTTAGAGCAGTCACAGTAGTGAAGGACAGGCTTCCTGATTTCTTGGCATTTGCTCCACATTCAGGAAGGACCAACCTGTCAAGATCCACACAGACAAGCTTCCTAAAACACAGCATTCCAAGCAGAGATGATTCTTACATGGAATCACACGGATTTTTCTTTTGTAACCAGCAGACACACAAAACTTCTTGAAAAATATTAACACAGCATAATTAAGGAGTTCTGAGAAGTGGTCATGTGTTTGGTACTACAAAATGTGATCACAAATCAATATCCAAAAATGCAAAGGAGAGAGAAATAACAACTGAGAATATCCTCAGTTGTGGGTTCCCTTCCTAGAAGCCACATGGCGTAGCAACCACATCCAGGGCCTCCTCCTGCACTCTCAGACCCTTTCCTTGGGCCTCTAGGATGATGGGGAGACAACAGAGAAATAGGGCCTATTACTGCAGCTCTTGAGAAATCCCAAAACACTACTGAACTGCTGGTCTTCCCACTAGAATCCTAAGTGGAAAACCACTGAGAGACCACTCTTTCCATGTTGAAGAGGGGGTAAGGTAGGTGGGGTGAGCATAGGTTTATTTCTAAATATGAACACTAGTAGACTGACTTTCAACCCCTAAGATAAGAACTTCAGAAGGACAAGTTGGACTACATCACCTCAAGCTGAGGACAGCCATGCTAGTCCTACTACCTCACAAGAATGAGACTCTGATCATTTGGAGATTTAAAAATCTAGTTTAAGCCAGATGAGGTAGTGCATGCGTGTAATCCCAGCACTCCGGAAGCTGAGGTGGGATGATCGCCATGAGTTCGAGGCCAGCCTGGGCTACAAAGTGAGTTCGAGGTCAGCCTGAATTACCTAGTGAGACCCTGTCTCAAAAACAAACCAAAAAATCTAGTTTGGAGAGAGAATCTTCACTCTGCCAGCTACTAATTCTATAACTTTAAACAAATTGTTCAACCGCAGGTAGACTTACTTTCAAAATCTGGTAGGTGTAATTAATATTTGTGCCTATCTTTAAGGAGTATGGTAAAGATTAAATATATCGACATAAAAATGATATATTAGGACAGCACCTAAGTCATAGTAAGCCTTCACTTTCAAGAAACAGAAGGGATGATTATAAAGAGAACGCTGGACTTTCCCTTCTCTAGCAAAGCGGTCCCCTCGGAAAGCTTTATTAGCAAGTGCTATGTCTAGCTGCAAAGGTGCTTGTGAGATTATACACAGTAAAAGGAAAAGTGAGGGAGGTAAAACAAGGCGTAATGTTAAGTTGCTGGACTCCAGCACAGCTGTAAGCCAAACAGACAGCCCTGCGCCCCGGGCAGCTCCCCACACGATACCTGCACCACTGCGGCGGGTGCTCATGTCTGCCACATATATCCACTCGTTGGTCGCTGGGTTGTACTGCTCCACTGTGCTCAGGCACTGGCGGGAAGCCCCATCGTAGCCCCCAACAGCATACAGCTTCCCTGAAACACACAACAGGGCTGAAGCTGGTGCCGGAACATTTGCATGGAACTGGAGTTTGGTTGACGCTCCATCTTCGACACACCGGGGCATCCTTACCTCAGTCAGAGTTCTGGGCCCCCTTTCTCCAGGGGACCACCAACCTATTCCCCAAACTGAGGAAGCATCCTTCACATTCCTGCCTTCTGCCTGCCCTTAAGCCATGAGCTCTGTCAAAGTAATCCTGCATCTTTCTAAATAAGAGCCCCAAATACCCACTGAAAAACTGTGACCTGGTACCCCCAGGGCACAACATATTCTTAGGGGTGAACTAGGTAAAGATGTCTCCAAAGCAAGGCACCAGCACTGGATAGACAGAAACCTAGGTGACCCTCAACTATAACCAGGCAGCCAAATTCCTGGTTAAAGGCTCACAATAGCAATGGGATAAATATGAAAAAAAGTTCTTTGGTGAGAATCCAAATACTATCTTGGCTGTTGTTTCCCACTCCTCCCATAACTCTGGTGGGTAGAATGCGTGAATGGGGTATTCTGTGTATAAGTAGGTTGAAATGTCTAGTACTTTTCTTCAGAGCACCTATGATTGCTGAGCGATGCATAGTTACCCTGAAGTACCATCATCTATTTTAAAATAAAAATAGCAGTAAACTGCTATGTAAGAGAATCATTTGCATCCGGGGTTTAGGGGCAGGGAATGAGGTCAAACAAGGCTGCAGAAAATTGGTACTGCATTTGAGGTGTTTGAGAACAGAGATTCAAACATTTGGGTTTAACATTTAACCTTAGAATATAATGGGACAGTTCCTTCTACAGCAGGCAGGGGGAGAAGCCCTATCACACCTGTAGGTCTCATATCTACAGGGGAACGTGAATTATAACAAGAATCCTATACACTATCTATACACTAAATATACACCATCAAAAGCAAATCCATTTAACAGGATTACTTAATGAAAAGGTTTCTGGATATTATTTGCTTTCCTAATTCCAAAAGCACAACTAGAATGTGAAAATATGTGGTTATTTTTAATTAGAAAGATTCTTAGACTCAAAACTGTGCTCTCCCATCAGAACTACTGATAGTGCAAATGTAAAACTATTTCTTTTATTTCACTGAGCCCAGTTTTATTTTCTGCCTGCAGAGACCTCTCAGGTGACCCTTCTGGAAGAGACATCTCCTCTGCAGTTCTGCCCTCCCCAGTGTCAAAACAAAACCAAAGGTGAGCGTGTTCTCCAGCGCCCAGGCCACCTGCCCCCCTGTGCTGCTCAATGTGACTTCCTCTGAGACACACATTCTGGCTTTGCTGGGAGCTTCTGCTGGAACTCCGATCCTCACTGCCCTTTTCCCTGAGGAGCGATTCCTCCAGAAAGCCAAGAGCAAATTATCCTGAGTTTTTCCATGTGCTTCTGGAGCCATTGCAACTTCAGAGCCACAATAATGAGATGATGAGAGGGAGGAAAGTAAATCAGACTGGGAGAGAGAGCTGGTTGGACCTACCTACATTTCCTCCCTGCATACTCTCACCTAAGCTTTCAACTGAACTCTTCTGCCCCACGGGGACCTACAGCCTAGAGAGCTTCAGATTCGAGAGGGCAAGAGAAACAAACTCCCAGAGCGTCCTCCATATGCACAGAGCATTCTACAAGACAGCACGTCTACACTGAGCACACCCACAAAACCCTTAGTTAGGGAAGTCTTTAAGCCACTACCATGAAGGCACCTCCTCCAGCCTCCGTTATCCACACCAACCCTGCATTGGCTTTAAAAAAAGGCCCACTCAAGGTTTCTCCTTGACTCTATGAGCAAGGATTTGCTATTTTTAATCCCTCCTCTATTGTTTGATATTCCTGGCCAAGGAACAAGGGGGGAAATGGGAAGGTGGTTAGACAAAGCACTTATATTTGGCAGACAAATCAATTTCTGTTCCACCAAAAGGATGAGACTGCAAAATACAATTTATCTGGGTAGGAGGACAAAATCCCTCCACTCGCTGACACGAGATGACTTGTTCAGCATGTTAGAATGATATATCTTGCAATGAAAATGTGAGTACACAAAACCAGTACAGTGAGAGAAAAGAATCTTTCTTTTCATTTCGAACCCAATGTAATGTTACTCTTTGCCTAAAGCACATTTGCACGTGTTCTCATATGTGAAAATGACTGTGAGAATGTCTGTGTACCTGTGCAAATGAACAGATATTCCAGTTAAATCACATTATCAGGACTGGCTAATGAATCACTGTTGTCCTGTGAATGCTGATGTTTTCATTCAAATAATACTCTATGCATTGTACACTGCACTGGCATGTGGCTGTAAAACCCCTACTATGAGCATGTGCCAGTGGTCTGAAGAAGCATGATGCAGTGAAAGAGCACTGGGTTAGGATTTAGAAGACCTGGGATTGAGGACTAGCTGTACGATTTACTCTCGTCGTACACTCTCCAGGACTGTTTCCTCATCTAGAGAAAAATCTGAGTCCTACCTGTTTCTTTAGAAGGGTTTTGGAAAGAAAATGAGAGATAGTTTACTATGCATAGTCTGCTCAGGTCCCAGATCTCACCTGCCTCACCCCATACATCTTTCCTAACCAGAGTAAGACTCAGGGTAGAAGTCTACCCTGTAGAGATGGTCATCAGACCTGGGAGGAGGCAACCACTTCATTCACAGCTCTGCTAATGTTCAATATATGAGCGGGAGGGCAAAATTAATTAAATACAACAATCACCCCCACGATACTATACTCCTGGGTTTTATGCTGATTCTGGGTTCCTCTACTTCCTGTCCCCACGCCCTCACCTGTAGCAGAGCTACTGACAAATAGCAGGATGGCACTTCCCCCTCTAGGTAACACCTACCCTCCCCAACCCACTAAACACTTCATAGCCTTATACCAGTACTCCTTCTCCCTGTTAAACCAGGACCACAGTACCTAACTTAGAGCAGTGTCCTGCAGAATGGAGCCACAGGACAGGAAGCCACAAGGACCAAGTGCGACCCAGCCCCACCACCACCCACCACCGCTCCTTACCCTCTACAACGCCCACACCCACGCTGCTCCGCCGCGTGTTCATTGGGGCCACAAAGAACCACTCGTTGGTCTTGTAGCTGTAGGCTTCCACAGATGCCAGGCCTAGAGACAAGAAACTAGTGAGATTTCCACACTGCCGTACCCCAAGCAGCTGAGTGAGAAATACCTGTAATGAGAAGGGGACGGGAGCACACTTGGGGCTGCAGATCTGAACACATGGTGCAGAGCCACCTCACCTCATCCAGTGGCCTCTAGCAATTCCTGAAACACACCTGTGGAGTCTACCTGAGAGCACCACTAAGACTTGACTCAGAGGGTGGGCTGTACACGGACAAGGGGTGCACTGAACTGCAAATGCAAATCCCTAAACTCCCACCATAAACACTCTGATTCCAAGTACACACCCAAGGCTGCTTCAGCGAACACATATTCAGTGCTTTTTTCCTGGCTTTCTCTACATTTGAATCTGGAAAAGCTGAAAATTTGCCTCCCACAATTTCCTTGCAATGAGGGGTGACCAAGACTATGAGACCTAAGCCAAAATCTGATGGAGGTTCATAAAACAGCCTTCACTTTTCTGATATAGGTACCACAACTTCCCAACTCTTGCTATCTAGAACACCAGTATGTTGGCTGGAGTTATAATAGCCATATCGTGATTATGAGGAAAAGACCAAAAGAATCTTAAAGAACTTAACTCTCCTATCCTTAAGCAATTAGACCAAGTCAGAAACTGCTGACATCTAGTTTTCTTGTTCATGATTAAAATAAAAACCTTCATTTTTATTGCCATGGTTCAGTCAGGCTTTCTACTTACAGCCAATAGCAAGCCCTAAACAGAACAATGCTCTACCTTTTCATTCTCTTTATTCCCAGGACTTTCTCAATAAATACAACCTCCACAGTGGCTAAAGACCATGGATTCAGCAAGGCAAAAAGAAGGCTGAGAAATATCATTAAATTATAAAGACACAAATGAAAATTCAGGGAAGTAAAACGTATTGTCCTTGCCACCCTTGGGGCAAAAGAATACCATTTTACATTTTAGTTTAATAGAGTTATAATCTATAGCGGTATCTACCCAGCAGTAGGAGTAGCAATGAGATCATCTCTCTGAGTCCATGTCCGCCAATCGTTCACACTGGGATTCTGAGAAGTCTGACAGAGCCCAGGAAGGAGGCTCCCTTGAGGTACAGCCTTGAAAGTCCCAGGGACAGCAGAAAAAACAAAGTCACAATGGACAGTTTGGTCCATGGTGTGGCCTGTGCCAGGCCTCTTCCTCCTGATGAGCCTCAGTCTCCCTGTCTGCTCAGTAGAGGGCCAGACAAGAGTCCTCAGGGGCCCCCCAGCTAAGCATGCTGTCTTTCTAAGGCTCATTTCCTAAGTAAACAGGTTGCCAGACACTGGAAAGCAGGAAAGGGTCTCTCCGAGTGTGGGGTCCTTCCCAGAGTCCCCTCACTGGATCATTACAGATCCCAAAAGCTGGGTGAGGAAAGAGAAGGATCTTGAATGCCATACATGCCATGTGCTATTGGGGATGGTGGAACCTGTGGGAGAAGGGAGCTTTGGGAAGGCCCTCAAGTCACTCAGGGGTGTTCTTGCAGGGAATGGTGGGACCCCAGACTCTTCCTCTTCCCTTTGCCTTCTTCCTTATGCAGTGAGCAGGTTTGCTCTGTCCTGCACTCCCACGATGATGTACAACCTTGAAACTGGTCCATAGCAAGGGAGCTAATCAGTCATGGACTGCAGGCTCTAAAACTGCAAGCCAAAATCAACCTTTTCTGTTCATAAGTTCTCTATCTCCACTATTTCATCACAATGACAGAAACCAGCTAATAGTGATAGGTATATTGCTGGGCTACACATAGACACATAGTCACAGAACTGGCTGTGCAAAACAGGCTGTGTGGAGGGTGCATTCTAGACTAGGAGGGGGAGAAATACATCCCAGACCTACCAGTGCTGCCGTCAAAGCCGCCAACCGCGTAGAGCAGATCATTGAGCACTGCTGCACCCAGGGTGCTCCGGCGCTCCTGCATGCTGGCGATGGACGTCCACTGGTCCTTCACACCATCATACACATCCACTGTCCTCACCCGCAGAGAGCCATTAAACCCGCCCACGGCGTACACATGGCCAGCCATGAACACCACACCTGAGGCACAGGAAACCAAGGCCCCAAGGTCAGGTCAGGTGGGTGATTACCTATGCTGATAGACAATAGGGGAGTAACACATGCACTCAAGCTACTCACTTCAAAGGTAACCTCCAACTTTACATATCTTTACATATCTGGAAGTCACTATGGGACTCACTGGCTTTCTTTTCCTATTTGCTTTCCTAATTTTGATTAATTCAAGCAAATACATGAATTAGCTTGAACTTCCAACTACGTAAAAAGTGACTTCAGAAGGGGCAGCCAAAAACTGTGCAGGTGGGGAGGGGAAAGGACTCTGAAACACACAGACATCTGAGGAAAGGAGGAGCGGTGTGTGACTTCCCACATGGAGCACAGACCAGGCGAGGAAAGGCAGCTCCAGAGCTGGAGACAATACTGCTCACCTGCTCTGCATCTCCTGGAGGGAAGCTCAGCAATCTGGTCCCACCGGTCCTCCTCAAAATCATAGCACTCCACGCTGCGGATTGCCTTAGGCGCCTGGCCACCAACCACAATCATGACCTCCAGAAAGACAAGTGGACATTAGCTGGATTGCAACAGCATCTAGATTAATGGGTGAACAATGCCTGGCTTTTCTATAGAGTTATGGTCAGGCTCTTTGGGTCATCTGCTACTTTTCAGAGTGTATGCAGACACTGCCCCTAGTCACCAAAAGAGAGAAATGTTCAAGAAAAGCCTTCCCACAGAAATACAATCATGAAGTCTGTATTACCCAAATGGCCACTCAGGGTGATATGAGTAAATGAAGCCACTTAAGGCATCTTCTCCAATCTCAAGTACCTGCAAGAACTTGGGGGAGATAAATTTTATATCAAAATAGACGCCTGTAGTTTGGAAAAGAGTGCAGAATTTGGATGCATTTTTAATATAAAATTACTGTTCAAAAGTGTCTCTGAATGCCTGGACTGCAGGGGCTCTAATTCACTGCAGTACAGGAAAAAAAAAATTATGATGCAGTGCACTGTGGTGACTATCACAAAATTTATTTAACAGATGATGTTCTGAGAAATAGCGCTAACAGCTCTATGTCCACAAGTAAGGTAGTGGTACCACTGCCAGGCGCCATGTGAGATGTATTGTCACTTGCTTGTCACCACAACTAATGAGGTAGACATTATCATTCACATTAACAGATAAGAAAAGCAATACTCAGAGGACATATGTAAATGGCACAAAGCCACCCAGCTAAGAGTGATAGGACAAACTGAACCCCAAGCCCACCAGACACAAGGGTAATGCTGGCCCTACGTGCTTTTTGCTCTGAAGATAGGGGCCACGGGCCTTATAAACACAGCTCACTGCCTCCTTGCCAAAATGCAAGTCATATTTCACTCATGAGTCATGAAATCAATGGAATGGAAGGCAGCCAGTATACTCTTTTTTTTTTTTTTTTTGGTTTTTTTTTTTTTTTTT